AGAGAGAGAGAGAGAGAGAGAGAGAGAGAGAGAGAGAAGATAAAGTAATTGACATACTTATCATGGTAAAATATTTAGTTGTGAATACCAAAAACAAACCAATTGCTACTAATTTTTTTCAATCTAAACCTTTTTGATGAAGATACCCTTTTATCTATGGGATAAATTACACTTTATCCTCTTGAACTAGTATCACCTAATATCACTTTACCCTTCAACTGAAAAATGCTACATTTGCCACATTGATTTACAAATTTGTATCAATGTAAACAATTTATTTCTTAGATAAATGAAAATTTGACATGTGATTTGCACGTGACATCTCAAATCAAATGCCTAAAATAACATCATCAATTTGTTTGGTTTAGTATTTAAAAATTATTTTTGAGCATTTATTTTTCATATTTTTTTTGGTCTTCAGTGAAACTTCTCAAATTTTAGTCTCTTTTTTCTTTTTCTTTTTTACTTTTTAAGTACATCTAATCTAGATGCATGAAAATACATTAACATACCAGTTTTTTGTTTTTCATTTTTTATTTTTTCATTTTAGTAAACTTCCTTTGGGTTTCCTTACAAATATTTTACTTTTTAGGTGCATTTAAAATTTTAATTTTTTTTATACTAAAATATGAAAAAAGTTTTACTAAAGACAAAAAAAACAAAAAGGCAAAAAAGTAAAAACTAAAAAACTGTAATTGAGTTTAAAAACCAAAGAAAGTATAAAATTTTTTGGTTGAGGTGGGTAGAGTGATATTGAGTGATAGTTGAAGGGGGTAAAGTGTAATATGTGATGCGGGGGAGGAAGGGGCTATGGTACACCACGGGGGAGAGGATACCAAAAAAAATGAAATTGACATATTTAGCATGAACATCCTTCTCTCTCAAATATATTTATCATGAAACAAGTAATTGACATATTCAATTATGGTACACCACTTAATTATTGCCAGCTTTGGGAGGAACAGGAATGTTCTGTTTAAAATCTAAATGGCATGGAGTACCTGATACAGCAACATCCTCTTGAGTGCTAGAAGAAAGCTCTCCATCAATTTCTACCATGCCTTTTGGATCATCAAGCATTGATTTCTATTTTTCCCACCGTGTTTTTGCCCTCTTTGTAACCAGCCACTATTTCCAAAAGATGCACAACAAGTATGATAACTAATTCCAGAATAAAGAACAGATTACTAAAGAAATTTAAAACCAACATATTCAAGAAAAAATATTGATATATAGGAAAATGGAAATTTAGACAGATACGACAGAAAACTAGGAGAGTTTACTTCATCAGCCTCTGGTATACTTGCCGGCAAAGGAATATGCTTGGATTTTGTCCACATACATGCACCTTTACCAACCAAGAAGCTAGGAAACTAAGATTTTAAAAAACGACCGCAACCGTTACGTAACGGTTGTGGTGGTTACTGCCACCCATTACGGCCGCTTTTGCGGTGTGATTGAAATTCACAGGTGTGCCGGTCGTAGCGGCTGCCGTAGCAATCGTAACGGTGCCGTAACAACCTGTTACGCACCGTTACATAACAATTCCGAATTGCTTCTTTCGAAAAAAATAAAAAAAGAGAGCTGAAAATGGGGAAAGAGGGATAAAGAGAGAAAAGGGAAGATGGAGGAGTAAGAGGTAGAGAGAGAGGAGGGAGGATAAGAACATGTTATTGATTTGATAAAGTTGTAAGACCTATGCTATTCTATTCAGCTGTTATCACTCAGTCATTTTGTTTGTGTGTGTCTATCTACATATTGTTTGAATCTATTTGGCTCTTATTGTTTGAATATATATATTGTTTGAATATATATATATATATTTAGGTTTTTATTTATTCTCATACTTTTGTGATTATTTATCTGATATATAATAGTTAATGATTGATTTTCTTGTAAAATATCTAGAAAACATAACACCTATAATTATATATTAATACATATTTTATACATGTCAATTTTTTTTGATTAGTTTATTTTATTTTTATTTACAGGTTATCCAAAAAGAAAATGAATATTCAAGTGATCCAAACCCCAAAAAAAAAAAATTCTTTATAATTTATTTTTTTATTTTTATATGATTACATTAGCATGTATAATTTATTTTTTAAAACTATTCAAGTTAAAATTTGCATATACTTCCACAAGTATAATAATTAAAAAAATAATTTTATACATCTAAGTCCAATAAATTTTTTTTCTGCCACAAGCATAATATGGATTTATGACATATAAAGTCATTAATTATTAAAATAAAATGCAAAAAACTCAGTTTATAATGATTTAAAAATATGAAATATATTAGATCATACTAAAAAATTGACAAAAATTGATCAATATTTATTTTAAAACCCAATAAATATGATTATAGAAAAAAAATGTGCGTATTGGTAAGTTTTTTTCAAATTGTGCGAAAAATAAAAAAATTCACGGCTCCGGTTACCGCAACCGTTACGCTACGGCCTTTACACCCCACAACCGCACCACCGCCACCGTTACGACGACCGCAACCGCTTTTCAGAACCTTGTAGGAAACACAAATAATGCCTCATAAGAAAACAAAAATCTGAGGGAGAACAACAAATGGCATGCCCTAGTGAGATACACTAACTCCTCGCCAGTGTAGCCAAGAAAAAGAGGAAATCCAATTTGGCATGATGTTGAAGCAAGAAACTAATTTATCAAAAACTTGGAATGGACTCCTCAATAAATCATTTCTTTCGAATTTTGACTTACAGACCAAATCACTGTAACTAATTTCACCCATTACCCTTTATGGTTTCACTTGATTTGAGTTTTACAAGCACTAAACATGTGTAGAAGGCAGATTCATATTCACTATTCACACATAGTATGCATTACGTAACATCCCTAACAAAATAATGTTGCACTACTCATAATTCCCAATGAAAAATCCCCAAGAAATAAATAATAAGTACTGTGATAATGCTGCCATAAAGAGTTAATTTGTATATCAAAATTCAAAGATAAACACAGATGTATTCATACATGGGAGGTATTCGACCCAGCAGTGCTGACCCCAACATTTGTTCCTTGGCCAACAAAGCAGCAACTTGGATACCATTTCAGACACCTGCTAATTATTAACTACACAAAAATGAAGAGCATATAATGAAAATGAAAGCTCCATAACATTATCAAAGCCGAAGAACAGAAGAAATTGAAGCTCACAACATAAAAACTTATTTACTTGTTTAGAGTATGGTTTCCATTAATTATACTTCAGGAATACCTCGCACCACTCCAACAGCCCGAAATGCCCCAGAATCACCATCCATGATACTGGCATCACATTCCACATGACCATCTTCAGTCAAATTTAGCCACACCCAGCATTTGTGCTTGGATCATCCTTTAAAGAAACAAACTTCATCAATAATGAAATTCACAATAGCTAGACAGAATTCAGAAGAGAAACACTATCAAAAAATTTCCACTGCATGAAATGGCTCTTTCCACATCAAACAGATAGGAGGAATGTTCTAGGGCCATATCTAACACACCCAACAACCCTACAACATCAAAGCCCAACCATCCCCCTAGGGCATTGTATTGGTCCCCTTAAGTTTGAACCAATCCAACGATCCCAGACAGCCCATGTACCACTAGCTTATGTTCATCCAAACCAATTATTGCACAGCTAAAATGTCATTGAACTATCTTGTAGTTTCAAATGTGTAATTCCATCTACCATATACAAGACCAAAAATTTCACAAAATACTAAAGAAAAGAACAATCCATGAATTTCAGTTAACTATTGACATGACTTTAGAGTCCACGTTGTAAAATTTCTTACTTTTTTCCACGTAATCCAAGTTGCATGTAAGCATCCTATACAAAAGAAAATAAAGAACTCTTCGTACCACCCACTACTATTACTTTTCAGCTTTGTAGCTTTAAAACAGATTAGTTTCCAAGCAAGTGACATGCAGAAGATTGGCTTGGTTGCGTTGTTGCACAAGTAGAGCATTTAAAAGTCCCATCCACAAACCCAACCCACTCTCCCCACCAAAAAATGTATAAAGTATTTTGGGCTCTATGCATCTCATCAAATAAGAAATGTCTCAGTTATAGGCTGCTTCCAAAATCAAATCTTATTTCTAGTATGTCATCTTGATCATGGTTGCTCAACTGTTATCTGCCAATCAAAGTGGTATTATGATGAGCCTTCATTATGCAATCTTCATGTGAGCTCTAGGGGCCATTCAATTTTAATATCAACTCCACACAACTACTTGTTGACTGCATTAAGTCACCAATATAGTAGCAATAAAAGATTCTAACAGGGACAGCAACATTAATGAAGCAGCAATCTTGATTCATGCTAAGCTCAGGATGACTTGGGTAAACATTTTTGTCTAGCAGACAAGATAATACAACAATAAATAATCACTATAAGACAACTCTGAAGTCTAAATACAATACTTTGAAAAGGAAGAGGAAGAAAAGGACCTTAGAGGCATATAATTCCAACAGAGATTCAGAAGCAACCCTACAGCAACATATCATCCTCTATTGATTTGGACATAGACAAAAGATCGTGGAAAACAAATAGCCAAGACAGGAAAATCAAGTCAATTTTTGTTCTAATTTGTGCTTTCCTTTTATTGTTTTCTAAGGGTGGATTGTTCTTGAAGTAAAAAAACAGTAAGGATCATTGATGTGCAGATGAACCATTGCCAAGCACAATGTAGTTACGAGGCATAGCCTGGGGTTGTGGTTGATGAAGAGAAACTAATTTATTTTTTTCAAATTAAAAGTTGCTTTGAAAATAAATATAGAGTAGCTTTTGTTTTTCAAAGTCTCTTAAGTTTATTATTACCAACAATGAGTATGTCATCTACGTATAGATACAAAATGACATATTAGTTACTCGTGTCGGAGGTCCAGCCATCCGATCACTACTAGGATTAACTCTAGCTTTGTGACTCTCAAGGATTGCACACACACACATTTTTATATGAGCTCTCATGTGTGTTTTTGAGTTATGCATTCTCATGATGCGTGTGGCTTTGATTTCATACTATCTGTGTTGTTCATGAGCTGGTGTTTCATCTCTTTTCTCAAAATTTGCAGGACTTATCATTTGATGGATTTTCTTGTCTTTGTGGTTTAGTCTCACTTGCTCTCCTTGCTTGATTACAGGACTTTCTAGGTGTGTTTTGTTTTTTATATTAAAAAAAAAAAAACAAAAAAGTTTTTTTTCCGCTCGAGCGGAATGTTTTACGCTCGAGCGTAATTTTCACTCTTGCAGCAGTTTGTTCGTGATTTGGCAGTTCTGAGAGATGGTTTTTTGAGCTCGAGCGGCCCTTTTCACGCTCGCGCGAGAGTCTCCTTGCTTTGTTGTACGCTCGAGCGGTAATCAGTACGCTCGAGCGGACCTGTTTCATACTTCACTCCCTCTCTCGACTCTTCGAGTTATTTTTTCTCTTCCTGTTTCATTCTCTCGATCTAGGGTTTGTTTTGTGGCTGCATTGTGGTCGATTTTTCCTCACATCCATCATCCTACCCACCGATTTGCTCTGCATTGTGGTAGATTTTTCCTCCCATTCATCATCCTACTCACTGATTTGCTCTTTGGTAAGTTTTACCCTCTTTTATTTTCGTTATTTTTTTTGTTCTTGCTCTATTTGGGTATGGTGTTGTTGGGTTTGTGCTTCTGTGGGGTTTTGTGTGTCGTATCTGTGATTCTCTCTCTCACACACTCTTTTTTGTTCGATTGTCTGTTTTTTCTGTGTATTTTTTTCTGTGTTGTGTCTGTGGTATTCGGATTTATCTGTGTCCGATTGAGGTCTCTCTCACACACTTTTTCTTTGTCCGATTGTCTGTTTTTTTTGTGTATTTTTCTTTGTTGTGTCTGTGGTATTCGGATTTAGCTGTGTTCCTACTATAATGGGCTGTTGAGGTCTCTATGCGTGGGTATCAACTTGGGCTTGGATACATTGCTTTGCTTTTCTCATGATTCATACTTATACTGTGCAATTTCTCTCATATTTTGTGTATTAGTTATGAGTTCTTCAATACCATGCTTTCATGCCCTGTTTTTGTTATGCCCTGTTGTTATTTTGGTTATTTCACTAATGATTTGTTTTGGTTTTGTTTTGGTGTGGTTTGGGTTTTGGGTTTGTTGGTTTGTTGGGTGTAATAGGGTTTCTTTTTCGGCATGTCTGCTCCTGCTCCTAAACGCCGAAAGGCCACCATCTCTCGCCCTACCTATAACCCTGATAGGTTTCAGTCGACCACACAATCCAAGTCCTTCCACAAATCTTTTGTGTCTCGCACAGTTCATTTAGAACGAAATGTTCAACCCGATACATTTGAGTCCATCCAAATTCGTCCTTTGTTTGACCCTCTAGGTGGTGACCTTGTCCTATTATTCTCTGGGCGTCAGAATCTCGATTGGGTTCGAGAATTCTATTGTAATATGGAGGGTATTCGGGATTATGAGCCATCTTTCACTACTTGGGTTAGGTCAAAATCCATTTCTGTCACTCCTGCTTTGATTCGCCAACTTCTTCAGATTGAGCAAGTTTTTCCCCAATACTATCCTTTCCCTGTTCCTGATCGTCCTACTTGTGACTTTGATGCTGTTGCCTTGGAACTGTGTGGTGTTGCCCGTCATTGGCCTAAAGGCGGTTTGATCAAACAGTTTGAACTTCTTCCGGAGTTCAGACTGCTTAATCTAATTGTCTGTGCCAACATCATTGTCACCACACACTCATCCGAGGTCAAACAAGACCAAGGATTCATTTTGTCCTGTATTGCCAATCACCGGTCTATTGATCTCGCCTCTCTTATTATAAGAAAGATGATCGGTGCTCATGGGCATAAAAAGCTTGGCCTTCCCTACGGTTGCTTGATCAACCGCATTTTGTCTGACCTTGGGACCCCTATCCTAGAAGATGATGAGTTTGCCTCTCCTTCTCGCCCTTTCACAAAGAAAACTGTCTCACAGAGTCGGGCTTATGTTAAGGGGGAGTCCTCTCGGGCTGATCCGTCTGCACGTACCACTGCTGGCCTTGCTGAGGAGGCTGAATATGATGCTGCTGCCACCGGGGGTGAGGAGGATCCTACTCCACCTGTTCCACCTAGCTCTTTTCCTGATCAGCTTAGGCATTTTGAGGCGGCTATGACCAGGCGGTTAGACTTTCTCGATGCGCGTTTTGATGCCTTTGATGGTCGTCTTGGTCAGCTGGAGCAGACTGCTGCTCACACTACTTCGCAGCTGGATCACATCATTTCCTTACTGACGCTTCAGCCGCCCCCTCCTCCATCTGGTGCTTGACTTCTTGCTTTCTTCATTCCCGGTCAAAAAGGGAGAGAGTTTGGTTCCTGCTGTGCTATTGATGGTACATGGATATTGATGGTATATTGTATTGATGGTGCCTGGATATTGATGGTATATTTTGTTTTGTTTTGTTCTTTTGGTTATGACACATGGATATTTTGATATTTTGTTCCTTTGGTTCTATTAAATGGATACATTTTGCTATATTCTTATATAGTTCCACAAGTTTTGGTTTTTCTGGTATGTTGCTAGTCTTTTCACAGGTGAATGTCGTATGATGAATTGGATTGATGGATCGATATATGGCAAGATTGGAAAGCTTGTTTGTTTATAGAGTTGTTTTGAGTGTTTTAGTATTTGTTTTTTAATTTTGTCTAGTGCGTGTGTTTAAGGACATTTGTTTAGAAAAGTTTTGTCCGGGAATTGACAAAGGGGGAGATTGTTAGGTCCCTATGTTGTCAAATCCGGAGACAAAACCTTGTGTTGATTCAAAAGTTTTTTTTTTGTGTTTTTGTTCTTTCCGCTCGAGCGGATACTTGTGAGCTCGAGCGTAAATTGGCAGGTCTCAGTAGTTTGACAGGGCAAGCAACAAATACTGGTGGGTGTGATTTTACGCTCGAGCGGAAACTCCTCCGCTCGAGCGCATCTCAGTTTCTTCGCATGCAGTTTTTGGTCAGTCCGCTCGAGCGGGCTATGTTGAGCTCGAGCGGAGATCGCGGATCCAGATTCCTATTTAAAGCTGCTAACGTTGTTTTGTTTGGGAGTTTTTTCTGAGATCTGATCTACAAGAACTAGGGTTGTGTTTAAAGTGTTCTTTTGGAGTTTTTCCATAGTTTTCTTTGATGTTCTTAAGAGAGTACTGAACTTATGCATTGAGATTCATACATCAAGGAGGTTGCTTCTTAAGTTTCAAGTGAGTTCTCTTCGGTGGATTCCGAAGATCAAAGCGTAGGATCCAAAAGGCGTTTGAGTCTACGCAGTCGTTAATTCGACAAGTGAAGTTGTGGTGTGGAATCAACTTCAGAATCAATTCCGTGATGAAGGTGTGGTGAAAAGAGTTACAGAAGATTCAGAGACAAATTGACTAGGGTTGGGTAATTTGTATGATTTCTTTGTAATCTTTTCGTTCTTCAGTAGTGGATTGATAGTGGCGGTTCGCCCGTGGTTTTTGATTACAATTGAAGGTTCTTCAATTATGGTTTTTTCCACGTAAAAAATCGTTTGTGTTGATTTATTGTTTATTCTCAAAAACAAACAAACTAAAATCACTCTCGTAAGTGTTTGATGATTTTAGGTTGAGTGTTTTGAATTTATTGGGTTTTGGAATTAGTTAATCTTGATCTAATCACAAATCACGTAGGATTTTCACAAATTATCAACATTTGCATCATGATAGACCCCACAGGCCCGAAAAACACCCTCCAATCCAAATGAGGATAGGAGGGGAAGCGGACTTTGATCCTCTCCATTCCATGTATGTAATGGAGGATTTCCATTACATATCTAATGATTATGAAATACAAATGTAAATTTGTAATTATTTTCAATTAAGAAGGACAATTATACTCACCTCACTATTAGATGATGTAATGGAATCTCTCCATTGTAAATATACAGTAAGCTAACCCATTATTAATTATCATATTTGTCTTGCATATTATCTTTCCAAATCGATAAGCTAAACTCTAAAAAATAAGCAAATTTAAGGATAAAAGACAATTTTAGTTCTTAAAGTATGTGTTTTTTGTTATTTTAGTTCCTTAAGTTTTAATTTTGTCATTTTAGTCCTCAAAGTTGTCAATTTGAGTCAATTTGATCCTAGGTTTAATGTTTGTTAACAGAAATATGAATAAAAGGCAGTTTTGGTCCCTGAAGTATGTATTTTTTGTCATTTCAGTCCCTCAAGTTTTAAATTTTATCATTTTGATCATCAAAGTTGTCAATTTGAGTCAATTTAGTCCTAACTCAATTTGATAACTTTGAGGGCCAAAATGAAAAAATTTAAAACTTGAGGGACTAAAATGATAAGAAATTCATATTTTAAGAATCAAAACTATCTTTTATTCATATTTATGTTAACGAACGTTAAACCTAAGATCAAATTAACTCAAATTGACAACTTTGAAAACTAAAATGACAAAATTCAAACTTAAGGGACTAAAATGAAGAACAACACATATTTTAGGAAGTAAATCTGCTTTTTATTCCAAATTTAAATTAGTAAGAGAAATTCTGTTATACATTTTTCATTTTTTTGGAAATATCATTATATAGAGGTTATGGCATTTTTTAGTCTTGATACAACTTTGTTTTATAATATAGCCACTTTCAGTGATAACCAACGTACTATAATGGATCATAACTAAACACTTTGCTGCTAATAACACTCATTTTTATTTATTTTTGGACTCTCACCTTTTTATACTTTTTTGTACAATTTTAACCCATTATAAAATTTCAATTTAGTTCTT